GGGTGACCCTGAATACAGCCAGGGACCCCAGGGCCACACTGGGTGCTCCAGCATCATTAGTATCAGCAGGTAGCTTGGTTAGCAGAAGTAATTAACGTGGTTAGCAGGAGTTACTAACTTGCTTCAAATTCTGGGCTTGTCCCCAGATACACTGTTGCCTGGAACAGGGTTTATTTTCTCAGTATCTTCGGCAGGGCTTGGGCAGGGCCTGGTTTTGTCCTCAAGTATCAGGAGGACGTGGTGAAGATGCTGATGTTTTAGTTCTGGCTGAGAAGTGTTTTTCCTAAGCCTGGGAATTCTGCCTTTCCCAAGCGCTGCCCCCGTGCAGGAGGACACAGAGCCCAGCAGGGAGATAAGGAGGTAACAACCCTCAGAAGCTGCAACTGGACAAGATAAGGGGAAAGGACCCAAACATGGAGTTAGAAGAGCTCAGACCAGGAACCACTGGACCTGAAAGACTTGTGAGGAACATGTGAAGAGCCCTAAGAGGCACATGAACACGTGAAGTTCACTGGAGTCACCTCCTGCAAAGGAGCTCTGGTCCCAGCAGCGGAAGCCCCAGGGGAGGGGTCCCCAGCCTGCAGATGGGCTGGGGAGGGGGACAGTGGGTGTGTGACTCCTGCGTGGGGGGGGTGAGTGCTCAGGCAGTGGTGTCACCCCTAATGCTGGGAAGGAGCCCAGGGCTGGGGGGCTGCAGGGTGCTGGGCCCAGCACCACCCCAGCACAACCTCAGGGACCTTGGGTGCAACCAGGGACACCAGGGGGTGTTGGGGACATTGGAGCAGTGAGTAAAGAGACGAGAGGCAGGGGGGTAAGACAGGGAATGCTTTTTTTTTATTGGGACCCACGGGACAGGACGGGTGGGTCCGTCACAGACTTTTCCATCGAAGCACAGACCATGAACAGGACAGACCGAGGCGCAAACGTTGCTACAGCCCCCGGGGAGGGGCTTCAACTAGGTTATGTTCCCTGTTAAGAGCAGCACCCTGGGGAGACTTTAGTACTCCTCCCCTTCCTCCTCTCCTTCCCCTTCCACCGAATCCACCCCCACCTCCTCGTAATCCTTCTCCAGGGCTGCCATGTCCTCCCGGGCCTCTGAGAACTCCCCCTCCTCCATGCCCTCCCCCACGTACCAGTGCACGAAGGCCCTCTTGGCGTACATCAGGTCGAACTTGTGGTCCAGGCGGGCCCAGGCCTCGGCGATGGCCGTGGTGTTGCTCAGCATGCAGACCGCGCGCTGCACCTTGGCCAGGTCCCCCCCGGGCACCACCGTGGGGGGCTGGTAGTTGATGCCCACCTTGAAGCCTGTGGGGCACCAGTCCACAAACTGGATGCTGCGCTTGGTCTTGATGGTGGCGATGGCGGCGTTGACGTCCTTGGGCACCACATCCCCGCGGTACAGCAGGCAGCAGGCCATGTACTTGCCATGGCGGGGGTCACACTTCACCATCTGGTTGGCCGGCTCGAAGCAGGCGTTGGTGATCTCGGCCACCGAGAGCTGCTCGTGATAGGCCTTCTCGGCAGAGATCACCGGCGCGTAGGTGGCCAGGGGGAAGTGGATGCGGGGGTAGGGCACCAGGTTGGTCTGGAACTCCGTCAGGTCGACGTTCAGGGCCCCGTCGAAGCGCAGGGAGGCCGTGATGGAGGACACGATCTGGCTGATGAGGCGGTTCAGGTTGGTGTAGGTGGGCCTCTCGATGTCCAGGTTGCGGCGGCAGATGTCATAGATGGCCTCGTTGTCCACCATGAAGGCACAGTCGGAGTGCTCCCGGGTGGTGTGGGTGGTGAGGATGGAGTTGTAGGGCTCCACCACGGCTGTGGAGACCTGGGGGGCCGGGTAGATGGAGAACTCCAGCTTGGACTTCTTGCCATAGTCGACCGACAGGCGCTCCATGAGCAGGGAGGTGAAGCCGGAGCCGGTGCCACCCCCGAAGCTGTGGAACACCAGGAAGCCCTGCAGCCCCGTGCACTGGTCAGCCTGTTGGGAGAGACAAGGGGGGGGGGGAAAACACACCCCAGCTTAGTTCAGGCAGCAGCAGATGTTGCTCCTTCCTCTCTGTGGCCTCATGAGGACACGGGGGATTTTCAGCAGTAGCTACTGGGATGGGTGACAGGGTGACCCTGACTCCATCTGTTGGGCACTGACTCATGGCGAATCCCCCAGGGACACCCCTTGGATCCCAGGGTGAGAGAGCACCATGCAAGGGTGCCACCAGCTTGGCTGCAGAACGGGGAGGTATCTGGGGACAGGGTTTGGGCAGCAGGACAAGGAGCTGGCCTCAGCATGTCCCGGGGGCTCTGGCCGGCCGGAGCTGCGCAGGCCCCGGGACGCGCGTCCCA